ATGAAATGAAGCAGAGTATATACAGTGACCACATTTTCCGTATATTTTGAAATAGTGCATTGACATTTTACAGCAATGAAAGCTGAATATTATCACCAAATAACCTAATTATGAAATATCTATTTTAAGCCAGGCGCGGTGGCTCAAGCCTGTAATCCCAGCACTTTGGGAGGCCGAGACGGGTGGATCACAAGGTCAGGAGATCGAAACCATCCTGGCTAACACGGTGAAACCCCGTCTCTACAAAAAATACAAGAAAATTAGCCGGGCGAGGTGGCGGGCGCCTGTAGTCCCAGCTACTCGGGAGGCTGAGGCAGGAGAATGGCGTGAACCCAGGGGGGCGGAGCTTGCAGTGAGCCGAGATCGCACCACTGCACTCCAGCCTGGGGCACAGAGCAAGACTCCGTCTCAAAAAAAAAAAAAAAAAAAAGAAATATCTATTTTAACTTCAAGATTCAAGGCCAATGAACCATATATGCCTTTATGAGATTTAGCTGAAAGTGATATGCAAGGTGGTGAATGGCATTCTAACAAAAGTGTGAAGAAAGAGCGAGAAGGCTGTCCTCTGCTGGAGGGGAAGAAAGGAGAGGAGGTAAGTTTGGAGAGGAAAATCTTTTTCTATACTCTCAGAATGGAAATGGATGGTCAACAACAGTCATTTCAGGAGAGCGTGGGACCAGGGATGGAGATGGAGGACAGGGGAGGATGAGGGGTCAGGCAGGTCTTCCCTGTCCCGTGTTCCTGGCTCCCAGGTGATGGCCTTGGAGAGTCTATGCTGCTAGGATGAGCCAGGTCACCTGTGCTCTGGCATTTCTGCCTCCTCTGCCCAGGACACTGGGTGAGCCCAGGGCAGTCAGTGCCAGCCCTTCCATGCCCCTCCTTCTTCAGCTCCCTAGAGCAGACCAAAGAACTGGGAGGCTGAGAGTGACTTGGGGGAACTAACAGGATACAGTGGTCTTGTGTCCATCTATTTATTCCTCAATGGATGAATGAATGAATGTATAAGCATCCATTCACTTAACATTTTGAGATACTAGAAAGATTAGGCTACGAGAATTCCTCCCCCCTTTTTTTTTTTGATACAGAGTCTTGCTCTGTTGCCCAGGCTGGTGTGCATTGGCAAGATCTCAGATCACCTCCGCCTCCCAGGCTCAAGCAATTCTCCTGCCTCAGCTTCCCAAGTAGCTGGGATTACAGGCGCGTGCCACCATGCCCAGCTAATTTTTTTTGTATTTTTAGTAGAGATGGGGCTTCCCCATGTTGGTCAGGATGGTCTTGAACTCCTGACCTCAAGTGATCCACCCACCTCAGCCTCCCAAAGTGCTGGGATTACAGGCGTGAGCCACTGCACCCAGCCAGAATTCCTACTCACTGGTTGTGGCTGCCTAGAGCTGGGGTGTTGATAGGGTGTGAGAGTATCCAGGCAGGGGAAAAAGTCCCCAAGATTCATTACAAACAACAGGCTGCAGGTCAGAGAGAGGGGGCAGGCTGTGGAAGGCCTGGATTTCTCAAATGATTGATTCCTTTTCACATGGTCCACACCCTGGCATGAATCCCTACTTGTTTTTCAGCCTTTTTCAAGTCTGTGGTTCAGTGGACCTTCAATAAAGGTTAAATTGAAAAACAAATAGGTATTCAGTGTTCATCAAGAATTGTCTGCAGCCATAGAAAAAGAAGGAAATCATGTCCTCTGCAGCAACACGGATGCAGTTGGAGGCCATTATCCTATGCAAATTAATACAGAAACAGAAAACCAAACACTGCTTGTTCTCACTTATAAGTGGAAGCTAAAAGTGGGTATTCATGGACATAAAGATGGCAACAATAGACACTAGGGACTCCTAACTAGGCAGGGGAGAGAGGGAGAGAAACAAGGACTGAAGATACCATGCTCACTGCCTGGGTGACGGGATCAATCAAATCCCAAACCTCAGCATCATACAATATACCGGGTACAAACCTGCACGTGTAACCTGAATCTACGATAAAAGTTGAAATAATTCAAAAGCAAAATCATTTTTAAAGGATAATAAAAAAAAAAGACCACCCTAACTTTCTCCAGCTCAGAAGTGACTGAAACTAACCAGTGGCTTCGGGAGCCAAAACCAAGCCACCAGCCACCAACAGACATATTAATCACAAGCAGTTATGGTTTCTTTCACATGAAATAACTCTCTAGGGGCACAGTGAGAATGAGCCAGTCTCCAGGTGAGAGGGCTTGTAACCAAGGCAACCGTCACGTCATCAGGATTAGGCGTAACTTCAGACCTAAATTAAGGCATGGTTATTTGAGACATAACCAGAAGTATGCTTCCCTCTTCACTGATCTTTGCTAATCATTCTCTTTGCTTCTTAGGACTTATCAAATGGCTAAAATAGCCTTAACAGCACTGGGTATTATATTTTTTAAAGTTGTCTGCACTTGTGGAGCTGTCTGAAAAATCATCATTCTCCTCACAAAGATGCTGGGACAGCAGATACCCTTCCCTAAAGAAAAAGTCCCCAGTCACTGTCATTTCTCCAGAAACAGTTTGATGTGATTGTAAGCAAAAACAAACAAAAAATACTCTCATATAAAAATCCAAAAAACCCTTAAAAAATGCCACATCAGCAAGAGTCCTGAGAGCACAGGGGCACTGAGGGGACCCCAGGATGAGACCTCTGTGGGACGGCTCACCTAAGCTCCATCCTCTTTCACACATTTTATAGAATGTGAATTGTGACTTTTTAAAAAACTACAAAAACAAGAATGAGAAAGTACTATTCTGACCAGAAGCCATAAGGCCTATTCGTGGAGAAGTAATTGTGGAGAGAATAGCACAGTCTCCAAAATCAATCTGGCTGCTGCCTCTCCTCAGGCGAAAATGAATTTGGACCGCTTGCTGGCGTCGACCACGGGCAGACTCTCTACGGATGTTTTGCATGGCTAAGCACCAGACGAAGACAGAAAAAGCAGTGTAAACTTTTTGCAAATTAACACCGCTTAGTTGATGACACACTTTTTATTCCTTTCCTCCATCCCTAGATGGTTTAGTGCTAGAGAAAGAAAAGATGATGAGAAACAGACTAGGCTACTGTTTTGACTCTTACAGGAGAGCAAAGATCGGGCTTTTTGTTTTATGGCATTCAAAGATCCATGTATCTCTCCCTCTCTCTTTAAATCTGGCCAACACTGTTCTTCCAAGAACTGCTGCTGATTTTCACACAGTGGCAACGTCATCTTCCTGGTGTCACCCACTGAAAAACCGGTCTGCCCCTGACAGTGCGGTCAGGACCTGGCTGCCGCCAGAGACAGAACGTCAGCTTTCTCGCTCCCTACAGCCCAGGGAACTGTCTGTCTCCACAACCAGGGGGAAGACAATAAACAGAGAAAAGAAATAGAACAGGCCAGGCGCAGTGGCTCACGCCTGCAATCCCAGCACTTTGGGAGGCTAAGGCAAGTGGATCACCTAAGGTCAGGAGTTTGAGACCAGCCTGGCCAACATAGAAAAAACCCATCTTTACTGAAAATACAGAAATTAGCTAGGTGTGGTGGCATGCACCTATAGTCCCAGCTACTCGGGAGGCTGAGGCAGGAGAACTGCTTGAAACCAGGAGGTGGAGGTTGCAATGAGCTGAGATCGTGCCATTGTACTCCAGCCTGGGCAACAGAGTGAGACTTGGTCTCTCAATCAATCAATCAATCAGTGCAAATGAACAGCAAAGCCCAGTCATGGAGATTCCTTACAATCTTAAAATAATAATAATTCTGAGATCTTCTGAGAAGAAAACATACCAGTTTGAAAAATATCCCCAAACATATCTCCTCCTTTCCGTTTGACTGAGAATTACTATTACTGAATTTATACATCAGTAAATCTATGTAGCTGCAGCAAAACCACAAGCTTGAGGAACAGATTAAAGCCAGGAACCATCATTACCATGAGGCAAAACAGTCTCTGTGTTTAAGGCACAGATCTAGCTACCTCAGGGTTATAAAACAATTCAAAGACCGGCTGCTAGCATCACTTGCAGTCTAAATAAAGAAGCAGAGAAGAAAAAACATCTCTGGAGAAGGGTGGCCTATGAATGGGCCTTTTGAAAATCATGAGTTGGAGGATTCTGTGAAGCCCCTTAAATAGTATATATCCATATATTCGTTTTTCTGGAGGGAGTGTCTATAGCTTTCGAAAGATTCTCAGAGAGAGCACTGACCCTTCAAATGACAGATAATTCTCAGAGCCAGAGCCCTCACTATCAGCTGCAAAGTCCTTTGTAACTACACAATAAAACAGATGGTGTTCTACCCTCATGGAAAAAAGTTACAATATTATAATTGGTAGGTTGTTCATGCTCAGGCAGTGTTGCAGTGATACATCTTTATAATGATGTTAAATTGTTAAAATTATCTGCCTGGTTCCATAAATATATGATACATTGTGGTTATAAAAGGGGCCTTTCTCATGAAACTTTAAAAAAGAGTTTTACTGTATCATTAATTTGGTATAGAATCAACACATTATTCACAATAAATATTAATTAAGGATTAACTAAACAATTTTGTGTGTCCCCGTAAAATTTATAAGAGCTTTCTTGGGGGAGATTTAAGAGGCCTAAGGTGCTTTGAAAACAAAAACCAAAAAGCAGAAATCTGAGGGAATGCCTTGGCTCAGCCAGTCCTGAGGCCGATGTTGAGTCTGTCTTTTGGGGGTCAGTGCTGGGGCTTGAGGTCTTATCCTATCATGAAAAGCCTGAATGCGAAAGGGTATGGGACATGCATGGAGGCAGAAACTGCCCCAGTGGTAGACGATGAAGCCACACAGTGCTGCGCGCAATGTATAACCAAACGCGTGAACTGAATCCAAAGCCATCCTGTAAAAATGCTTATTAAAAGAAAAAGCGCAAGCTGAGGTTTTCCCATTAGCTTCCTCCTTCCTAAATGGTCTGTAATACCTGCCCCCAAACCCTGTACCAAGAACTGGCCCTTCTGCTCAGAAGGGAGAGACTGGGAAGTCACTTACCAGATGCAGGGGCCTGGCCACCAGGGGAGCTTCCAGACCCGGCGCCTGCCCTTGCCGAGCTTGGGAGCCTCCCATCAGTCCCGTTCTCGGGCTGGTCTCTGGCCTCTGTCCTGCCGGCTGCTTCTTCATGGGGAAGGCCCATGCCATAGGCACACTGGGGCAAGGGTCCACGTTTCGGGGAACCCACGAGGGGTTCACAGTCCTCCCCAGGAGGGTTCCGGCAGCCTGTGCAGACATCTGCCCAGTTAGGGCTGGGACTGGCTGCCCAGTGCGGGCAATGGCCACTGTCCACCTCTTTTTGTAAGTAGTTTTCAGAGGACATGGGAATCCAATCAGTCCCGCACAGTGGCTCAGTGCAGCTGCAGCTTTCTGAACCCACTGTGCTCTGTGTCCCTGTGAAGCACTGGCTTAAACTGTCATTCTCCCCTACCTCCAGGGGTTCAGAGAAAGGAGGTGTGGATTTGCTTCCAGGCTCAGTGAGGAACAGTAAACGGTCTGCGGGCTGGGAGGGCCTGTCCATGTATTCATCTTCCATGGGCATCTGTCTGAAGCGGTCTTCCTCTATCTCAGTCTCGCTGACCAATGAGAGTATCCTGGCATCTTCGCCTTGTGCGTAGGGACCACTTCCTACACACGTGCCCTGACAGACACCACCTTGATCTGGGTAGCACGTATCTTCTGGAAATGTCTTCTCCTCCAGAGTCAGCAGTAAGACACCTTCACACACTCCCTGCTGACCAAAGGCTGCCGTGTGTGGACTGACACAACTGTCGCCTGAGGACTCCTGCCGATTTACATTCAGAAGGCAGAGGCATTAACACCCAGAGTTATTAGGATGAGTTTAGCTAAACATTGCTGAAAATGGTGTTTACACTGATTACTTCCACCATAACAAGTACAGATGGTATACTGACCATGGCACTTTGTGTTATGAAAAATTACTGAGTGCAAGAGAACTCTAGAATGGAATACAACTAGAAACAAATGAATCTAGCTGCATCTCAGATGAAAAGCATGTTCACACCTGAGCAAGGAGAGGAGCTAACCCAAATGACTTTTGAGCACAGTATTCTGATGACATATTCTCAATCTAAATACAAAACCCAAAAACAACTGTAAACAAATATTGAACTCGAGTTAGCAACTCTGTGTATCACTGTGGTATGCTCTAGTAATTCTGAAACTACTTTCTGTGTATTCTAGAATTGAGCAAATGAGGAAATATAGTGAGAATAATAGGAGCCAGGTTTCATACAGCTGGGGAAAGAAAGATTCAAATATGGGAAAGGGAAAGACCAGAATGAACACTGTTGCGTTGGCCTGGAATTGAAGAAATCAGTTCGAGCTTATGCTTTCAAATGTATACATTTTATATCAAAGAAAGTAGATCTAACCGGGCACGATGGCTCATGCCTGTAATCCCAACATTTTGGGAGGCCAAGGTAGGTGGATCACCTGAGTTCAGGAGTTCAAGACCAGCCTGGGCAACACAGTGAAACCCCATCTCTACTAAAAATACAAAAATTAGTTGGGCATGGTGGCGTGTGCCTGTAATCCCAGCTACTCAGGAGGCTGAGGTAGAAGAATCGCTTGAACCTAGGAGGCGGAGGTTGCAGTGAGCCGAGATTGCGCCATTGCGCTCAAGCCCGGATGAGTGAGAGAGACTCTGTCTCAGAAAAAAAAGAAAGAAAGAAAGATCTAAAGGACATAATGAAATGATTAATGAAAATGTAATATCAAATGTGGGTTGAATAATAGGATTATACCACTGTTAAATTTCCTGACACATGTACTACCGTTATATATGAGAATGTCCTTGTTCTTTTTTTTTTTTTTTTAATACTTTAAGTTCTAGGGTACATGTGCACAACGTGCAGGTTTGTTACATATGTGTACTTGTGCCATGTTGGTGTGCTGCACCCATTAACTCGTCATTTACATTAGGCATATCTCCTAATGCTATCCCTCCGCCCTTCCCCCTCCCCACAATAGGCCCCGGTGTGTGATGCTCCCCTTCCTATGTCCAAGTGATCTCATTGTTCAGTTCCCACCTATGAGTGAGGACATGCGGTGTTTGGTTTTCTGTTCTTGTGATAGTTTGCTGAGAATGATGGTTTCCAGCTGCATCCGTGTCCCTACAAAGGACACGAACTCATCCTTTCTTATGGCTGCATACACACTGAAATATTTAAGGATATGGGACACACGGTCTGCCATTCACTCTAAAATGGTTTGAGAAGAAAACATAACTGTGTTCATATACACACATACAGAGAGTAAGCAAATCACAAAGCAATGAGAGAAAATAGAAACAACTGGTGGGCCTATGTGTAGGGTATATGGAAGGTCTTTGTCCTTTTCTACTATTTTCCTATAATTTTGAATTGTGTCAACATAAAATGTTACCAGAATAACTAGAGTCAAGGAAAGTTGCAATTTATCCTTCTCAGGAATCTGTACCAGACAATCAAGATTGGTACTAAAAAAAAAATAACATGAACACAGAGATGAGAGAAGTGGAAACAAAGACAAAGAAAACAGGCATCTAGAATAAGCCTGGACTTGGGCTTTGGGCTGCTCTGCAGGGATCCATCCTGGAATTTGAGGTTTGATCACTGCACCTGGAAATGCCCCTTAAGCAAAGAGGCTCAGGCCAGGCGCGGTGGCTCACACTTATGATCCCAGCACTTTGGGAGGCTGAGGCAGGTAGATCACTTGAGGCCAGGAGTTCGAGACCAGCGTGGCCAACACGGTGAAACCCTGTCTCTATTAAAAACACAAAAAAATTAGCCAGGCGTGGTAGTGGGCACCTGTAATCCCAGCTGCTCGGGAGTCTGAGGCAGGAGAATTACTTGAACCTGGGAGGCGGAGGTTGCAGTGAGCCGAGATTGCACCCCTACACTCCAGCCTGGGGCACAGAGTAAGACTCCGTCTCAAAAAAAAGAGGGGTGGGGGACTCAATATTTGACTAGGATGGCTCTACCAGCCTGTTGAATGTACTTAACAGAGGCACCAATAACTGTTCACTCTACCTTATCTCCACTTAGGCGGCCACAAGCCTCATTGATCCAGTGCCACAAATTAGCTAGAAAACACAAAGCAAGGATAAGGACTTCAAGTTATTATTTCCCACTTCTTTTCTTTTAAATAAAGGTTATTATGTATATTTAAGGTATACAACATGGTATAGGACAAATATAGATTGTAAAATGGTTACTATAGTGAAGCAAATTAACATACCCATCATCTTACTTAGCTACCCATTTTTATGTGTGTGTGGCAAGATCCGCTAAAATCTACAAATTTAGCAAAAATCTTGAATATGATACAATATGATTAACTACAGTCCCCATCCGTACATTAGATTCCTGGACAACTTTCTTCATCCCGCATATCTGCTACTTTGTTTCCTTTGACCCACATCTCCTCATTTTCTTTCCCCCTGCCCCTGGTAACCATTGTTTTATTCTATATCTCTGTATATTTGACTTTTGGGGAATACTACACATATAAGTGCAATCATTCTAGAGTTTTCTTTCTGTATCAGGCTCAGTATTATGACCACTAGGTCAGTTCAATATTATCTTTCAACAGAGTCCACTGCAAGTCTTTCAGTGAGCGCTCCTGGGAGTGAAAGCATTTAAAAGTAAATCAACTGATTTAAAGGCTATGAAGGGCCAGGTGCGGTGGCTTATACCTGTAATGCCAGCACTTTGGGAGGCCAAGGTGGGTGGATCACTTGAGGTCAGGAGTTCATGACTAGCCTGGCCAACATGGTGAAACCACATCTCTACTAAAAATACAAAAATTAGCCGGGCATGGTGGCACTCGCCTGTAATCCCAGCTACTCGGGAGGCTGAAGCAGGAGAATTGCTTGAACCTGGGAGGCGGAGGCTGCAGTGAGCTGAGATTGTGCCGGTGCTCTCTAACCTTGGCAACAGAGCGAAACTCGGTCTCAAAAAAAACAAAAAATAAAAAAATAAAGGCTATGAAGCCATCTTACTCCTATCAAAAACAGAACTTCCTGTTCTATGCAAAGCAAAACATGATCCACTAATGTTTTAGTGACTAACTCTGGGCACATTTGGGGGCTGTCAGAGTTGCTGCTATGACTATAGACATTCTCATTCTCTTAAGTTTTCTTTGGTTATGAGGGACTAAGTTAGACATCATAGAAGAACCAAAGAAAATATGTCTAGGAGACTGATTTTTCCAGTAAACTAGCTTGAATGTACTATAAAAGTGAGGCAAGCACAGCAAGCTAGGTGCCAGACCCACTGAGACCAGCAGGCCCCAAGACCTTTTCCACTATATCTGGCTGCTTCTCAGAAGAAAGAATATGTTCAAAAACTACATCTCCACTCACTCTTACAGAAGTGATGAAACCTAAAAGGTTAAATTTTATGAATTTTAAGAAATCTATGGATTTATATTATACAAAGATACAATTTTATCCTACTTCTAATGAACATTTAATGTTGGGCTCACTATAAAGACTAAAGTTAGGACTGGACCTGGTGGCTCACACCTGTAATCCCAGCACTTTGGGAGGCTGAGGTGGGCGGACTGCTTCAGCTCAGGAGTTTGAGACCAGCTTGGGCAACATGGTGAAACCCCATCTCTATAAAAAATACAAAAATTAGCCAGGCATGGTGGTGCGTGCCTGTGGTCCCAGCTAATTGGGGGGCTGAGGTGGGAGGATTGTTTGAGCCCAGGAGGGAGGTCGAGGCTGCAGAGAGCTGCTCTTCTGCCACTGCAGTCCTGCCTGGGTGACAAAGTGAGACCCTGTCTCAAAAAGCAACAACAACAACAACAACAACAACAACAACAACAAAAAACTGACTAAAGTTAGGAGTTGTCAGATTCTCCATGGGAAGATCATCACAGTTCAGTATAATAGCTAATATGCACTTAAGCATGCCAGGGATGGTGCCAAGCAGTCTCATCATAAAATAGGGGAAATAATAGTGCCCACCTCATGGTGCTGTTGTGAAGATGTACTTAGTACATGCAAAATATATGTAGTCATGTCGGCACATATTAAATATTTAATATATGTCAGCTATTGCTATCATCATCATTATTCTTGCTTCTTTTCTATCACTTTGAAATTATATATCAAGGTAAACTTACCCGACCTCCCCCGACACCCCGCCAAAAAAAAAAAAAAAAAGAGGACAATTGCAGCTGTTTCCTTGGAGAAATCAGTCTAGACAATCACAAATGGCACTAAAAATAAATACCTGTCCATGGAGCTGGTAAACATGCAGACCTGCCATGATCACCTCTGCCCTGGACAACTGCAAACAGCTTCCTAACTGGTGTGCCTGCGTCTACGCTCACTGTACCACACATTTGTTTGGTACTCTAAAGCCAGAGGGCCGCCCTTGGTCCCTTTTGCTAAGGACAAGGAGCAAACTCCTTCAGCAGCCCTGCAGTGCTACATGGTCTGGCCGTGCCCTCCTCTCCAGCCTCGTCTTCCACTTGGTCCCTGACTTTGTGCTACAGTGCCACTAGCTCCTTCCAGCCCGCTAATGCACCGTGCTCCCCTCATCATGCAGCTCTCAGGATAGAATGCCTGTGGTTCTCCTGATGTCCCTTGGCTAGCGAATTCTGACTTGTCTTTCAGATCTTAACTCACACATTTCCTCCTCTGGGAGGCCCTGGCTGGCCTCAGGGATGGGCTGACCTTCTGTCGTCTGCTACCTGGTGCTCAGCAGCTTCCCTTGCACACTCGGCTTCCCTCCGTGGGCTTAACGCCTACCCTGACCACTACGATGCTTCCTCCAGGAGAGCACTGGCTGTGTCTGCGTTGCTTGGTATTGAGACCCCAGTGCCAGTCCAGTCCCTGATGATCAGTAAACACGTAAGGATGAATGGATGAAGAGAGCGCTAACAGTCATGACATCCAATCCAGTAAACGGTAGGCCCATAAGGCAGTAAAATAGTATCAAAAAGAAAAACCTAAAGAACCAAACATCAGGAAGTCTGTTTGTCTCACATAAACATGACTACAAGTGACCTTCATCCTCTGAACATGCGTTATCCAAATCCCCAGTAATGATGTTGTTAAGGAGGTGAAGTTGCACTAAATAAAAGCATTCAACAATGAACAGACTCTTTAAAAAATGGTCACCACTCGGCTGGGTGTGGTGGCTCACGCCTGTAATCCCAGCACTTTGGGAGGCCAAGGCGGATGGATCACGAGGTCAGGAGTTTGAGACTAGCCTGACCAACATGGTGGAACCCCATCTCTACTAAAAATACAAAAATTAGCCAGGCGTGGTGGCAAATGCCTGTAATCCCAGGTACTCAGGAGGCTGAGGCACGAGAATCGCTTCATCCCGGGAGGCGGAGGTTGCAGTGAGCCGAGATCACACCACTGCACTCTAGCCTGGGTGACAGAGCAAGACTCCGTCTCACAAAAAAAAAAAAAAAAAAAAAAAAAAGGTTCACCACTCAAACATTGCTCACTGCTTACCACTGGCATCAGAAATCTCCATCTTTCCTCTTTAATTAGTCTTCTGATTGTCTAGTGTTTCATTTGGCAATGTAATGGTTAGAGAAGCAGCTAGATAGGCAGGGTCTCATGAAGTCCAAGGGTGTGATGTGGGAGAACTGATCAAATCACAGCAAGGCAAAGTGGGCCATATAAATAAGCAATCAACTGGGCCAGGCATTGTGGCTCATGCCTGTAATCCCAGCACTTTGGGAGGCTGAGGCGGGTGGACCACCTGAGGTCGGCAGTTCTAGACCAGCCTGGCCAACATGGTCAAACCCTATCTCTACCGAAAATACAAAAATTAGCTGGGCATGATGGCAAATGCCTGTAATCCCAGCTCAGGAGGCTGAGGCACGAGAATCACTTTAACCTGGGAGGCGGAGGCTGCAGTGAGTCAAGATCGTGCCATTATACTCCAGCCTAGGCAACATAGCGAGACTCTGTCTAAAAAATAAATAAGTAAATAAATAAATAAATAAATAAATAAGAGAGCAACTGAAAATGGAAAAGGATCGTGAAACATCAGGTTTTTAATATTCAAGTCAAAAGAGAATGACTTGAATATTAAAGGATTAAGAGATATTCTTAGGAAATCTAATGAAGTCTTGAATCCTTTCACAAAAATTACACATTTTTAGCTTTGTAGTCTAAAAGTTAAACATGACGTGATGTTTAAAGACACTAACAGTTCTTGTCCAGGCTGGACTGCAGTGGCATGATCTTGGCTCATTGCAACCTCTGCCTCCTGGGTTCAAGCGATCTTCCTACCTCAGCCTCTCAAGTAGCAAGGATTACAGGCATGTGCCACCATGTCTGGTTAATTTTGCATTTTTAGTAGAGATGGGGTTTCACCATGTTGGCCAGGCTGGTCTCGAATTCCTGACTTCAGGTAATCCACCTGCCTTGGCCTCTCAAAGTGCTGGGATTACAGGTGTGAGCCACCGCACCTGGTGGAGGTTCTTATTTCCAAGTAACACTGCAGTCAGGAATTCGCCCTACTGGTCATCTAAATATTTTATGTATATTTTAAATGCACGCATTAAAAATTGATGTATTCTAGGATAAATGCAAGCTGCTGTATATGTGATGCTGTACAGTCTATACAACTTAAACATGCAGCTTACAAGTCATCAGTTTCCTGAACACCAGAGTATTCTTGTTCCCTTATATATAACTAGGCAGAATATTGGCTTTTTCAGGTTTTTGGAGTTCTGTTTCTTTTTGTCAGAGAATGATAAAACATGATCTAGAAATCTATCTCTTTTAAGATTAATTTGCAAAAAGCGCCATAGACACCATACCTGTGAGTGCTTTCCCTTTTTTCCTATAGCAAACGCCAAAGATGATGGCAGCCACTAGGGCCACAGATGTGAAAAGAAGCAGAATTATTACACCGGGCAAGTAAACCTGGGGTTCTGTATTGAAAGAAAATGAGAAATATGGTATTAAAGATTCTTTAATTTTACGCAGTTGAAAAACAAATCCTGGTAAATCAAACCTCAGAATGAAAAATGTTGGTTTGGGATAGCAGAAGTGAGAGTCCCCACCCCTGGCTGCCCTTTGTCCACGAGTGCTCACATTCTGAAGGGTGAGATCCACAATCTTAGCCAGCCTGGCTCAGTCCGGTTTCACTCTACGGGAGAGCAGCCCAGGGCCATTGCGGTGTTTCTACCTTAGAACATCTCTAATCATGCTCACCACACCACCCAGTCTCATTCTGGCTAACCTCCAGAACCCTTCAGTATCCCCAGATGAATGACCTCCGCAGACAAAAGGAGTTTCTTCTATCTCTTTCCTAATAGCAACAGGGCACCAGGGCTTTGCCGGTCATGAGAACAGAACCACAGCCATCCTGTGAAATATTTCTGGAATTTTCATCCCCAACACCATGTGGACCCAACCGTTTTCTTCATCCCTCCCTGATCACTTCATTGCTAGAATCCTTGTTAAAAACTCTTGATTTACTTGACGTGGTTTCCTGGACTCCTACTTTTCCTCTCCTTCTCTTTTTTAAAATAACTTTTTATTCCTTCAGTTATATTTAATGTTATCTGCCAAACGGTCTTTAAAAAGTTTGCTCTGATTGTGTAACTCCACATCCAGAATGCTTTAATGTCTTCCTGTTTCCCAAAATGTCAAGGCCAAACCCCTGATTTCTTGGTCAAAGCCTGTTAACCCGGTTATTCTGTGGCCTATTGTTCTCTTTCCTCATCCTAAAGGTCTATTTGCCACTTAAGCCATCTCTTCCGATATCTGGACCCGCATCTCCACACTGTCCTGTTCACCAAGTAACCAGCCTCCACCATCAACTTTCTGGCAATCTGAAACTCCGCTTAAGACTAATTTAATGTGGCCATGTGCAGTGGCTCACTCCTGTAATCCTAGCACTTTGGGAGGCCAAGGTGGGCGGATTACCTGAGGCCAGCAGTTTGAGACCAGCCTGGCCAACATCGTGAAACCCCGTCTCTACTAAAAATACAAAAATTAGCTGGGCATGGTGGTGTGTGTCTGTAATCCCAGCTACTCAGGAGGCTGAGGCAGGAGAATCGCTTGAACTCACGAGTTGGAGGTTGCAGTGAGCCGTTATCATGCCACTGCACTCCAGCCTGGGCGACAGAGCAAGACTCCGTAAAAAAAAAAAAAAAAATTTAATCTGCAATATGTTCCATAGATGATAGTAAGATCCTAACAATTTTGGGAGATGACCAAAATCTCCTCATAGACACTTGTGACCACCATCATCCCACCGTGTCTGAGCATTTTATGTTTGCAGCTCTATTTTTTTTTTATGCATATTAAAACATGATTAGTTACCCCCAATCCAGTGTAGAAAATTATCAAGGAAACAACACACCTGGAGTTACACTACTGATTAAAATGAAACATTGAGCTGACCGTGCACAGGATGAAACAACGGGGGAGAGGATGCCTGCAGATCCATGTGCCATCTGGGAGGGATCTAAACGACCTGACTACCCCGGGGCCATCTATCAACCAACAGGCTCGTTTTAAACATACCATTTGGTGGTTTTCTAGATAGCAGAGAAGAACTGCAAACCACGTCGGATTTCTCTGTCCCATGATGTTCTACCGTCTTTCCAAGGGAGGTACAGCTGTGGGGGCAGGGGGAAGGCAGTTCAGTGCTTTGGTTTTATATGCTTGTTTTTTAAAAAATGAACAAATGCAAGGCTCTCCCAGATGGCCAGCTCCTTCAGGAGAGGAACCCATGCCTTCCTGGACATTTGAATCTTCCGTGCCTTCTACAGGGAGGAGAACATCACAAGGTGGGACAAAGAAATATGCAAAAGCAAACGCTGCCTGTGTTCTCTGACAGTTACTCAGAGAGTGTGGTCAGCAAAGCAGCAGAGCAGAGTCTTCAGGAAAGACTATTCTGGCCATGCCCGGTGGCTCAGGCCTATCATCCTAGCACTTTGGAAGGCTGAAGCAAGAAGATTGCTTGAGCCCAGGAATAAGAGACTAACCTGGGCAACATGGTGAAACCCTGTCACTACAAAAAATTTAAAAATTAGCTGGGTGTGATGTACATGCCTGGGGTCTCAGCTACTGGGGAGGCAAAGGCAGGAAGACTGCTTGAGCCCAGGAGGTTGAAGCTGCAGGAAGCCATGTTTGTACCACTGCACTTCAGCCTGGGCAACAGAGCAAGATCATGTCTCAAGGAAAAAAAAAAGTATATTCCAATAGCTTCAATTACATGGTTAAGTGATACACTTTTGCTGATTTTTTTTTTTTGAAAACACAGAAAATCCTCTTGAACATAAAATTTGGATAAGTGAATCAGAAAATAAACATTTATTTATGTATTTTAATTTAATTTTCGTTGTTTAAAAATGTGAGATAGGGTCTTGGTATGTTGCCCAGGCTGTTCTCAAATTCCTGGGCTCAAGCAATCCTCCTGCCTCAGCCTCCTGAGTAGCTGGGATTACAGGCATGCGCCACCACGCCTGGCAGAAAATAAACATTTCATAAGGAATATACAGGGAACTGAAAGAATCATTACATTGATTATTAGTATTCAACAACAAGCATGAGATGAAAGCACCCATGAATTCCACTATAGATACACTCACATACATGAGAAATCATACATAGATGAGATTCTTCATCACAAAATTATGTATTACTGTAAAAGACTGGGAACAACCTAAGTGACTATCAATAAAGAACTTATTACATAACTTACACTTCATCTCTACAATGAAATACTATGCAGCTGTGAAAAGCCACGAAAATCATGAACTGGTGAACTAATATAGAAAAAGCTTCAGGATATAATACGTGAAAAAAAAAACCCAAGATGTTTACAGCGTGCAAACATTTATATAAACAGGAGGCTTCTAGATGTGTGTACACACACACACATACACACACACAAATATCTGGATGAATAAATCAGTGATGTTGGGAAGTTGGGAGAAGTAGGCATGACCACTGAATAAATGTTATAAATCATTTTCAACCAAACAACGTTAGAAAAAGCTGTAACCATAAGTCACAGATTACCAAATCTAAAAAGTCACAAGAAGTTCCTGTCACACATAGGGCTGAAGAATTAGTTTGACTGGTTTATTTTCCCCATGTTGAACTGACAGACTTTTTCCATTTTGAATGTGGCTTCAAGAGGAAGCCTAACCCAACAGAATCCATCCCTTTTCAACCCAGACGAGACAGTGGAGGTTGAGTTGTTTAAAAACCAACCATCTCTTCTGACTCCTTTGTTGTTACTTACTTGGTCCAGGGTCTGCATTTGTCCGTGGAGGAAGAGGCGTCTGAGAAGTAGCCTGCAAGGCAAGGTTTGCACACCGTGTCCTTGTTGAGCTGCACTGTGAAAAAAAAACAAAAAAGAAAAACCCAGACAGAACAAACACAGAACAAACGAGGTCACTTAGAGATCATCCAGGCTGAGACCCCAGAGGACTGGAGGTTAGGTGCTGCCTCTGTCTGCTCTCACCTCCCACCCCTGTGCCTACCCCGTGTCTGATTCCTTCAGCTCCCACAGGCTTGGGCCCACAAAGCAGTTCTGACCCCAGCAGTGAGTTACAGAACCACGCTCGTAAAGGTAACTGGCTCGATGTCGGACCACTAACACTCATCTGTGATGTCCAGGTCAGGCTAGCTCTGGTCTGGATCACTAACACTCTACTGTGATGTCCAGGTCAGGCCAGCTCTGGTCCTGACCTTTTGTGGTTCAGAGTCACTTCCCTGGTCACTAACACTTTGTTTCCTAGTCTGGGAGCTGGTGTTGACTGCTCCTGCTATCTGCCTCTTGTTTTTCCCTACGCATCTATGTACCTACGTACCTGTTCAAATCAAACATTAATTTGAACAGCTTTTTTTTCCTTCTTTTCTTTTGAGACAGAGTCTCGCTCTGTTGCCCAGGCTGGAGTGCAGTGGTGCGATCTCAGCTCACTGCAAGCTCCGCCTCCCGGGTTCCCCCCATTCTCCTGCCTCAGCCTCCCAAGTAGCTGGGACCACAGGTGCTAGCCCAGCCTTTGTCTGCAAGGAATGGCAGACCCATTACTACTTTGAAGGGAAACTCACTGTCCTGACCTCTTCTGATGAGCTTAATCTCCTCAGTCCAAGTATCAGAGTCTCAGTTAAAAAAAGAAGACAAGGAAGAACCCTACAGGTCTCTTTCCCTGCCACCAAGGGTTGGTATCAAACATTTTCTATAAAGGGTCATACAGTATCTTAGGCTTTGCAGGCCTGTGGTCTCTGCTGCAGCTACTCATAGCATGAAAGCAGTCCAACAATACATTAAAAACAATGGATAAGGGTATGTTCCAATAAAACTTTACTGATAAACACAGTGGTACAATGGATGTTAGACTCCTTCCTTAATGGACAGCGTTGAAAGCAGGAGTTGATCCTGGTTAGTAAACTGACTTGACTCTCATATTCCTCATGAACTACACTGTCAAAATAAATGTCTCAGGTTTCCTATGCCTATTCCCTCTACTGCAATCCACGCATGATGATTCTTCGGTAAGTCCCAGGAAGAACACTGGCTGCGATGTGATATCACAATCAGGCAACTGGCTGGTGCCCAAGCCACAAATGACTCCTGAAATTAGTAGCACTTCTGTGATTTAGTTTCACGAATAAAACACTAAAAAAAGGAATTAAATTTTCTTTGTCCAAAGTCAAGTACAAAGTATATTCTTGATTTCTGCAATTTGGCTGGCTAAGTAGGGTACCCGCTCCTGCATCTAGCAATTTGATTTGCCTTGAAATCTAATAACTCACATGAATTTGAACAGGTTTTTTTTTTTTTTTGAAGACAGAGTCTCGCTCTGTCACCCAGGCTGGAGTGCAGTGGCGCAATCTCCGCTCACTGTCAGTTCTGCCTCCCAGGTTCACACCATTCTCCTGCCTCAGCCTCCTGAGTAGCTGGCACTACAGGTGCCCGCCACCGCGCCCGGCTAATTTTTTGTATTTTTTTAGTAGAGACGGGGTTTCACCATGTTAGCCAGGATGGTCTTGATCTCCTGACCTCATGATCCGCCCACCTCGGCCTCCCAAAGTGCTGGGATTACAGGCATGAGCCACCGCGCCCGGCCAATTTGAACAGCTTTTTAAAAGAGAAGCGCAATCTAGAGTTGTGAGAAGCTCTCAAAATCTAAGACATGGGAGCTAACAGGCATGCAAAGGGTTAAGGGTGCTAATTTCCATAACTTGACTTCCATATGACTGTTAGTAACACTGACCCACCAGAAGCATCCTGCAGGCTCCTTTCCTTGCTCCCTTTCATAATCACACTTTTCCCACTTTACAAAAGGCATACTTCTTACCCACCCCAGAGTTTGCGGCTATGCTGCCAAACCTCTGAGATGTCGAACTAAGTGACAAGTGGAAACACTGGTGATGGTAGAGCTCCCGCGCCCCCGGGCACACCTCCCACCTTTCCCGCTCTATCAAGGGCAAAAGCAGGATGACAGAAATGGGGCAGCTGCGATCAGGCTGAGTTGTTCTGAATTGAAATTACGCAGGGTGGGGCAGGAGTGAAATTTCCATTCATCTACCCCTTCCCCTCTATCTTCCACCTATTTTGTCCCAAAATGAACCCATTTCCAAAGGTACAAGGCAGAGAGAACGTCTAATAGAACCCCTGATGTGACATGCTGGTGAAAACCTGGAGGAAAGGCTCTGGGCCGCTTCTATTTTAAAATCAGAATTCAGAGGGAGTTGGCTGTGATAGGGAGATCTATTTTAACAATTAAAAAATCAAGTTAGACTTTTTGTAACAGAAAGCACATGTGGTTTAGTCAATGCATTTGATAATAAAGACCGAGTGTGTCAGTTAGACTCTGTGATGGACATTATCCTTGATATGAATTGAAATGGATAGTATTTTAATTCTCCCAACCCTGTCCAAGTATTTTGGGTCAAAACCAGGTGCCTCTAAGGGAATGGTTAATAGGCATAAATAATCATTTGTTAAGTCTTGGAAAAAACTGCTTTTGTTATACTTTCTAGAACTCAGGAAAGCAAATGACTCTAAGAAATACTTTTTCAACTCAAAAGAATTTCTATGTCTTTACTTTCAACAAAATTGGAGGACACAATTGAATTATCAACTGATAGATCATTAAAAATAACTTCTGATATCACATCAGTAGGTGAGCTTGGACATATAAATCAGAAGGTACTGAAAAAAATTGAGGGACACGCCTATAACCGAAGTGTTTCCTTTGCCATTCAGTTATTTATGTGAACAAATTTCTCGGCACTTACATACATAAAAAAAGTAGAAACAAAATTGATGTTGAATGCTGTTGCATTTTAGCAATAAGTAATGTTCAGCCATAAATATATGAATTGGAAAAAAAATCCCACTCATGGAGGTCGGAGGTTTTTACTTTTACGATTATAATACAGCAAAATAGGATATATTCATTTTTGACCAATTGTGTAATAATAAAGGTAGTGACAACTTGGTCCAGAAGAAATGCTTTTAGTCCTGAGTCAAAGTAAATATTTAAAAATTAAGATTTCAGCCGAGTGTGGTGGCTCACGCCTATAATCCCAGCACTTTGGAAGGCTGAGGCAGGCAGATCACCTGAGGTCGGGAGTTTGAGACCAGCCTGACCAACATGGAGAAAACTCACCTCTACTAAAAATACAAAATTAGCCAGGCATGGTGGAGCATGACTGTAATCCCAGTTATTCAGGAGGCTGAGGCAGGAGAATTGCTTGAACCTGGGAGGCAGAGGTTGCAGAGAGCTGAGATCGCGCCATTGCACTCCAGCCTGGGCAACAAGAGCGAAACTCCATTTCAAAAAAAAAAGATAGGTGCCTATTTTTCAATAGGTGCATATTTGAATATGAAAACGTGATTAGTAAAACCCCTCCAAGGATAAAAAATATATCAGGATAAAATTCTGTGGGGAAGGCGGAATGGATAGGAAACAAAAGGAGAGAAAGGAATTATGTAAACTGTCAAATAGTTAAATATGATTAGTGCATTTAAAAATGAATCATAGTGGGCATCAAATGGCCGTGGTGTTTACATTCCACTGGATTCGTCTCTTCAGTGTTATCGCAGTTACAATTCCCCGGTACCTAAGTCCTTATTAGTTCTTTAAACTTGTAACAAAAATTTTTAGATGTCAACTTAAAAACGTGCTGGGGTGGGGGATGCATGGTTTTGCCAAAATTCTAATGGGCGCATACTCTTTAAAAATGCCCAACCACTCCTGCACTATCCTGCTGGCTCCTAAGTAGGGATCCTAGGTTTCCACAGATGGAGGAGCCCCAGCGCCCCCTGGCAATGGCCAGAGCATGTGGGCAAATTGCCCGCAGTCCCTTTGAAGAACCTAAGCGGAGGATTCATTCTCAGGTCTTGCCTGGGCCTGCATCTCGTGGAAAATCAGCCCCCACCTTTCCTCACCCCTCGGGTTCCTCCAATGCTGCCTAGCACCCTGGAGCTTTCTTGCTGCTATTATCAAGACTGTCTCAAAGCTAGCTTTGCATGGCTCAGCAAGAGCCGACAGACGCACACATCCAACCCGTACACGGGTGCTGGGCGCCCAGGCCCGGCGCGCACTCGGTGTTGCGGCGGCAGCACTCGCAGTCCTGGCTCCAGTGGTACCCAGCCGTGCAGGCGCAGCGCCGGGGGGCCGTGCTGTTGCCGGCGTCCACGGCCACCAGGGCCTTGCCTGTGGGAGACAAGAGACAGGTCATTAGACAGGGAGGAGCAGCCAGCCCAGACACCGCCCACGACTGCACTATCCAACATCCAGCCCAGAGCAGCCCAGACCAGCAGCCCGCCTGGCGGGCCTGCGGAGTGAATCACCAGGGCACTGCTCGAGAAGTCCCAAGTTCCTCTTTGCAACTTCCTGCACTGGCACGAAAACGTCACGGGGGGTTCTTCTCTCTCTCATAATTAAGAGTTTTGTGGGCTTTTTTTAAAAGTCAATTTTCATGTTAGTAGGAAGATAAGGACTTGGGAATTGATGATCATTGAATGTTCTGGCAAATGCAGAAGGGTCACAGAGCTGAGCTTCCTCATTTTTCATAAGTTCAGATACCACATACATAAGACTAACGCGAGTTTGGACCTTAGAGAATAAGGCTTCTGGAGGTTTAGGATTCATCTTAGGATCCTGAGGCATCCCAGGGTGAAAACGGGCTGTTGTGGAGTTACATGAGTGGAGAGGGCACAGAGGCAGGCCCAGTGACATGCTTAGAGGCAAACTCTCCTCAAGCACCCAGGTGGCCTTCTCGTTCCAAATCTCCTGGCCCCTTCCAGTTTTTCTGGAATGCAGGTATGTATGGTTTTTCCAAAACCATGGGAATTGATCTGTTGTAAACACTACACACACACACACACACACACACACACACACACACACACACGTGTATCTGTTATAAACTACATACACACACAAATAGGAATCAAAGTATGGATCAATCAACAGTCAGTCCTCATTATTTGCAGATTCATATTTGTGAATTCACCTACTCAATAAAATTTATTTGCACCCCAAAATCAGTCCTCTTGGTAATTCTGCAGTCCTTCAGGGACAGAACCGTGTACATTTCGAGTTGCTCCACACTCAGGTTTCTGGCTGAGGTTGGGCCAGGCGATGCTCTGCCTTCTTGTTTCAGCTCACAGAAGGTAAACAAGCATTTTGTTGGTGATTTCCCTGCTTATAACAGCCCCCAGCTGTCGTGCTGAAGAGCTGTCTAGTGTTCTAAGTGCAAGAAGGCTGTGGTGTGCCTTACGGAGAAAATAACTGTTAGAGAAGCTTCGCTCAGGCATGAATGACAGTGCTGTTGGTCATGAGTGCAATGTTAATGAATCAACAACATGTATCAAATAAGGTGTCTTTAAACAGAAACACACATGAAACAAGGTTATGTGGTGATCAGTCCATGACGGTGTGACTGGAGGCTTGCAGGAACCTCACCCTGTAATCCACTAGGACTAATGGCTCAGGATTTGCTAATTCAGCGTTCCTGGTGACTTTACAGAACACAGCTACCGTGCATAACCAGAGTCAACTGCACATATGTGCATGACCCCGCCCCCCAACATGATACAAACCAATAACATGATTTAAAACAGACCTTGTACCCTCCTAGGGCTCCTTCTCACCTGGATTGTCCAAACAGCCCCTGCACTTTATATTCCTGAATACTTATAGGAATTCCAAGGGAAAAACAAACAAGCAAACCAGAAACCCTCTGCCTCTTATTGTCTCAAGTTATAGCCCATAGGGAGGGGACATTTCTTATTTCCAATCTTTATAAGCTTAGTGACCCTGGAGAAGTGCCCCCATCTCCTGCAGTGCCCACTCTTCCAAGGCCCCAGTCAGCTCTGCAACATCAAGGTCAATACTCAGAAACATGTCCACAATGCATGGGAACATCCACAGACACATGCCACTTCTCTGGAAAATTCCAGCTACTCCTAGGATCCCATCCGAATGTAAGCCTAGGTTGTGATGAATAATTTTGACATAATTTAAAGTATTGTATGTAATGTACCAGATTTTTGGCTTTAATCAACTTTGGCAGTAGACAGAATGAATCTTTATTTCCAAGGGACAGCAATGAGTCAAGGTCATTACTAAGCAGTAGGAAATAAAAAAGGCTCGATCAGATGCTTCTGCTCAGTGGAGTTTCCGTGTTACCTTCCCCAGCCAAAATCTGCCAGCTGTCTCCAGCATATTAGAAAAATTATGGTGTTCAAAGAAACACTTATTCTCTAATTCTGTCCACTGGGGAAAAAACTTCTATACACAAGGATCAATCCAGTAGTGAGTCTTCTCTAGAATCCAGACTGAGGTCACTAAATACAATGTTCCTCTAAAAACAATCAGGAATCCTTAAGGAAACGTCTGATTGTAGTTTAAGACAAGAATTATGCAAGCTAAGCATGGAAGCAATAGATGCCTGGGCTGTATCAAAACACCTGGGGCCACCTCATAGAAGTGTGACAATCCAAGCACCATTACAACCAGTTACTGCAGGCAGGGGACCATGGCTCACACCTGTAATCCCAGCACTTTGGGAGGCCTAAGCAGAGGGATCACTTGAGGTCAGGAGTTCAGGAAGAGTCTGGCCACACGGTGAAATGCCCTCTCTACTAAAAAATACAAATGTTATCAGGGCATGGTGGCACATGCCTGTAATCCCAGCTACTTGGGAGGCCAAGGCAGGAGAATCGTTTGAACCTGGGAGGCCAAGGTTGCCGTGGGCCAAAATTGTGCCACTGCACTCCAGCCTGGGTGACAGAGCAAGACTCAAAAACAAACAAACAAACAATAACTGCAATAGACTGAAACTGAAACACCTCAAATACCTCCATAATATAAGTCCTTGGGAGAATGCTGGATGATTAATATATTGTTTTGCAAAGTGATAAATAAGGTTAAAAGCATTTATTCTATCTTTGCTATATGTACTGCACTGCAGGATAAATGCTTGTAACTTTATCAATAAATAGTTGATGAGGGAAGTTTATCTTCATAAAGTATGCCAGCTAATAAATGAAAAAGAAATGAGAGAATCAGAACATCACCTTTCTGCAGCCCCTAATGGAAACAAATCTAAACCATGACCATCAGCAGCTGCTACTGTTACAAAGAGGAAGGCTCAGCTATTACATGGTTCCAGTATTCTATGTATGAACTATATTATGTATGAAGTTTGCCACAAACAAAACAAAAAACAAAGCAGAATCTGACCGGCCTTCTAGCTCTAACAACCAATTTATAAGACATTGATCTAACAACCAATTTATAAGAAGGGGTCAGGCCTGTAATCCCAGCACTTTGGGAGGCCGAGGCGGATGCATCACTTGAGGTCAGGAGTTTGAGACCGGCCTGGCCAACACAGCAAAACCTCGTCTCTACTAAAAATAAAAATTAGCCAGGCATGGTGGCACATGCCTGTAATCCCAGCTACTGGGGAGGCTGAGGCAGGAGAATAGCTTAAACCCGGGAGGGGATGGTTGCAGTGAGCCGAGATTGTGTCACTGTACTCCAGCCTGGGTGACAGAGAAAGACTCTATCTCAAAAAAAAAAAAAAAAAAAAAAAAAGAAAAGAAGAGAAATATAAGGGACAGAAGAATACATTAAATGATACCAAGGGAATGCAACCAACAAAATCTGGCCTGTGGAATCTCCACAGGCCTAACATCATGGCTTCTTCAACAAATGAGCTCAATGGAAAAAGGAAAGAAGAGAGAGAAAGGAACCTCTGTCTCTTAAGAGAATTAAGAGACATATTTTGCTCGTGATTCCTTCAAATAAACTATACTTTAAAAAACATTCCAGGCAAAAAACTTAAGGCAGTCTGGTAAGGAGATGAAACTGTGTTAATAAAATATTTATAGTTTAGGAAAAAGGTCAAGAGTAGACCTGGTTTTGAGTCCTGCTTCACATGTGTTAACCTTGGAGAAGTTATTCAACCTCTCTGAATCTGTTTCTCAATCTTTAAAGGGGATAGGCCAGGCGCGGTGGCTCACGCCTGTAATCCCAGCACTTTTTGGGAGGCCGAGGCGGGCTCATCATGAGGTCAGGATATTGAGACCATCCTGGCTAACACAGTGAAACCCATCTCTACTAAAAGCACAAAAAATTAGCCGGGCATGGTGGGGGGCGCCTGTAGTACCAGCTACTCAGGAGGCTGAGGCAGGAGAATGGCGTGAACCTGGGAGGTGGAGCTTGCAGTGAGCTGAGATGGCGCCACTGCACTCCAGCCTGGGCGACAGAGCAAGACTCTGTCTCAAATAAATAAATAAATAAATAAATAAATAAATAAATAAAATAAAATAAAATAAAAGGGATAAGTACGGCTACCTACAGGGTTTGGAGGAGTATAACCACACAAAGTAGGTGGGAACATTATGGAAACATTATGTCAAGTCTATGATGTGTCCCATGATTAAATGGCAACATAAATATATTCCAGAACAAATGTTCTAAATGAAGAATTTTAACACAGGCCTTGGGGATTTAAAACGCATCTTTCTTGGGATCTGTAGTCACAACTTCCTTCCATGTTCCCGAAATGAAACATTATCGGTTGCCTCTAAAAATGTTTCTACAGAAAAAGAGGTCTGAGGTTTCTACACTTCACACTGACACGACAGGCTCACCTGTATCACAAACTTTATGCAGCAAGCATTTATCTTCTTCATTCCAGGTATCCAAGTATTCATCCGGGCCACAAGGCAGACATACACTGTCAGAGGTAGTAGTGCATTTAGAAGACATGTACTTTCCTTTAAAAAATGAAGGGGAAAAATACAACCATCAAAAACCCAAACCATAACCGCAACACAAAGCAAAACAGCAACAAAAATCGCACCCATCTATGGGACCAGTAACCATTGGTGCCCATGATCCCAGGACACCCCCCAAAGACGACATACACAGGAGAAGAGGCCACAGTGCACAGTGACTGCAGCACCCTGGGCTCCTCGGGCCACTCAGCTGGCTGAAATAACCCCACCTGGGTCTGCTGAGCCTGTGGTCACAGCAGTCTCTTAATTCTTCCTACATAAAAAGCCAATCACCCTCTGCACCCAAAAAGTCTGCTAAGGAAAAGAATGATGGGCCAGGCATGGTGGCTCACACCTGTAATCCCAGCACTTTGGGAGGCAGAGGTGGGCGGATCACCTGAGGCCAGAAATTTGAGACTAGCCTGGCCAACGTGGTGAAATCTCGTCTCTACTGAAAATACAAAAATCAGCTGCGTATGGTGGCAGGTGACTGTAGTCCCAGCTACTTGGGAGGCTGAGGCAGGAGAATTGCTGCTGCTTCAATCTCTGGGAGACGGAGGTTGCAGTGAGCTGAAATCACGCCACTGCACTCCAGCCTGGGCAACAAAGCAAGACACCGTCTCAAAAAGAAAAAGGAAAAAAAAAAAAAAGGAATAGAATGGTGATTTTAAACTGGGCTGCAGAACTTGAAAGATTCCCCGGAGCCCACTCAGTGAATAAGGGGGGTAGGCAAGAGAAACTGCATCACCCATCCCCTCCCCCTCTGCCTTCCATCTGGATAGGCAACTTCTTATTAGCTTCTTTTTGTTAACTTCTTCTACATTTACTACTGGCTCATGGTTAGCTTCGTTTGACCAAGTGTCACGCTGCGCCCCACCCACCTACCCAACACACACTTGACAATCACTGGATCTTGGCTCTGCACATCCAAGAAATAACTGTAGCTGAAATATCCAAAATGTCTTGTTATAAGGTAACCCACCTTCCCCTCCCCGCGTGACGAGAGTGCGGGCCCCGTGGACTGTGGCTTTCACTGGGGCTGCAGAGACACTCAGCCACACTTCTGGCAGAGCGACTTGGGGTAGGTGGTAGCCAGTCCACCTTCTGCTCCTCAACAGGTGTACGGAAAAAGGTACGACAAGGGTTTAGGCAATTTTTAGCAGCCACAATTCCAGTATGGTTATTCCAAAATAAAATTTCCGTGAAAACAATTTTAAATAAGAGCTGCATTTCACATTTTGAGAGCTTGAATCATAAAGTGCTAAAATATTAGTTTTTAAAAACTTCTTGCCATCTCAAGAAATAGTGTTTTAGAAAATTGTGTTTCAGCCCAAATTAAGCAACAGCTTTTAAAGTTGTTTTTGTTTTTTTTTTTCAAAAGGGATTTTAAAATCCCTTCAAATCTCTCTCTATTGAGAGAAAGATTTTTGTCTTCAGAGTGACAGACATTACCACCTGCCACTACCATAATGCGTCTATCCAATTTCTTGTTTCATCTGGCAGCAAGAAAAAATAACAACGAAAGCCTCACCCACTTTTGAGGGGCAATGCAAGGTGGCTCAGAAGCAGCTGTACCTGGTTCACATTTGTTACAGCACCGTCCCAGATGCTCATAATGCCGCTCACTGGTACATGGAGGAGCGATCTGCAGAGCCACCTGAAAAGAACACTGAGGTCAGGCAGAGAGTCCACACAGCCCTTTCTGGATAAAACTAGATAAAACAAAAAGTGAATCACCAAATTACATTTTTTTGTTGTTGTTGAGATGGAGTTTTGCTCTTGTTGCCCAGGCTGGAGTGCAATGGCGTGATCTCAGTTCACCACAACCTCTACCTCCTGGGTTCAAGCCATTCTCCTACTTTTGCCTCCTAAGTAGCTGAGAGTTGAGATTACAGGGTTTTTTTTGTTTGTTTGTTTGTTTGTTTTGTTTTGTTTTTTGTTTTAGACAGAGTCTTGCTCTATTGCCCAGGCTGGAGTGCAATGGCACAACCGCATGGCACTGCAACCTCTGCTTCCCAGGTTCAGGCAATTCTCCTGCCTCAGCCTCGCAAGTAGCTGGGACTATAGCTATGCACCAGCTAATCTTTGTATTTTTAGTAGAGATGGGGTTTCACCATGTCAGCCCCTTGAACTCCTGACCTCAGGTGATCCACCCACCTCAGCCTCCCAAAGTGCTGGGATTACACTTACCTTTTAACATGTTAAACACTCAGAGAATTTTAAAAAGCCGAGAAAGTAAGGTGTTGTAGGGGCTTCCTGGGCTCCGCCCTCACTACCTGTTGCCTGAAGGACTGCGGGAGCTGTTTAAGCTTCCTCAGCCTCTGGTTCCCTTCTGGTTCAAAAGGGTATGATTCTAAGACAAATACCAATTTCTGAATCCGCCCATCTGAGTAAAACAAAAGAAAACAAAGCAGCCCAGGCGCCTGTAATCACCCAGAGATTCTTATCAGTTTGCCACAGAAAAGCTCTTTTCCTGATCAGCATTCTTGGTGTGAGCAAAAAACAAACACTCCTGTTGAGAAGCAGTCATGTCAGAAACCGAAGAGTTGGGCTTAGCTGAACAGACATCTACGTATGCACGCCACACTTGAAATTCATGCACGTTCCCTGCTGCATCCTCGAATACAGGGTCACAGACCTTCCCCTCAAGGGTCTTAGAATGGAATGAAACACATACCAGATGGGCCCTACCTCAGCAGTGGTGGGAAGGAAGCAGAAGCGGCCAGGAAGGCTTCCTAAGGGAGGTGGTAAGTAATCAGTCTTCCAAGATAAACAGAAATCAGCCAGACCAGGAAACAGAAACTGGCAGGTGGAGGTAGCGGGAGGAAGTAGGAAGACTTTGGACAATAGGAACAGTTCGAACAGGGGCAATGAGGCCTGAAACAGCTCTTGGGTGGCAATAGGAGACCTTCAGTCCAGCTGGAGCCCAGTGTCACAAAGGCAGTCAGGGGAGGGCTTCATCTGCATATTAAAGTGCTCGGATGGAGGGCACAGAGATAACATGGCTTGGAAGAAGCCATGCGTCCTCAAAATAGCTCCATTATAGAAGGCAGCTTTATGAAGAAAGCACCAAACCCAGGAAAGCCCAGTGGGTATGAGGCACACAGCCATCATGGACCTTTCTGACCTCACCCTGGCCAGCAAAGGGCTTATGAGGAGTCTGAGGTCGACGAGAAGGTCCCAGTGTGTTATTGGGGTGATGTATGCCAGGAAGGCTGGACTTGGACTTGCTTCCTGGGCCCTGCTGACACTCCCTGTGGACACCGGATAACACAATCGGATGCTCCCCATGTATTCACTGGGTGACAGAGTCTTAGGGAAGCTGCATTGAGCCCAGCGGACTGAGGAAGAATTGCTTAAAAGAAACCACCATACCTCTCCCTTCTGAGGTGTTTTTCTCTGTTTTAGATGCCACCCTTCTCTGTCTCCCTCTGTGTGTAATGTACGTGCAAAGAAAGAGGCAAAGTGGTAAAACTGATGCGGCCACGCAAACTGGGTCAAAAAGGAGGATTCATCTGAGCCTAAGGATTCGTGAGCATTGTTGCAATGCTGATGACAAGGGCAAACAGGATAAATACGAAGCTGGACTATATTTCAGATGACAAAGGTATTAATTGCTTCTGATCCCTTAAGGGGGCAGCCACAGACTCAGTAAAATGAGCACATACTTTGTGTTATAGACACAGAAAGGTACTTTTTAGGGGAATTTGGTAAATGGGATATCCCTGAAGTAGCTGCTTAGGGGCACTGTCAAGATGTCACAGGCCGTGTCCCGGGCTCCAAGCCCTGGTGCCTGTTGAGTATATCTGACCTGAACATGTAGACAATTCACTCCATGTTTATGAGTATGGCTGTGATTCATTCAACCCACCGATCCTCCAACCCAGGAGCTTTGCACCTCTTCAAAGAAACAAGGAAGTCACTGCTTCCACAAATGACCAGCTGTCCTAACTTTTAATTGATTTTCAAAGATATAAAATCCATTTCTCTCTCCTAAGCTTCTACCTCACTATGACTTTTCACCTGAATGTGACTCTTTTCCCCCACCCCAAAAAAATTGAGGTATAATTCACGGACCATAAAATTAAACCTTTTAAAGTATACTTACTGTTCAGTGGTTTTTAGCACTTTGGCAAGGTTGGACAACCATCACAGCTATCTAATTCCTGAAGATTTTCATCACCTCAAAACTGACATGTCTACTTGACAGAGCTATAGGATTACAGATCTTTGAAGCAGCAGCAGCAATTTTGCTGCTGCGAAAATTGCTATGGTGAGGCAGAAAGTTATGCTTTTAATTTCATTTAGGGTCCAGCTTAAGCAGAAACCTACTTTGTTCTCTAGTTACATGATATACTTCGAAGTATACCTTCAAACCCTCAGTATGGCAATATACATACACCTTAAAAGGCAGCATAAGTACACATATTTAAGGGAATGTGGTTTGCAGGTAAAGAAATCTGGAAAACTAGATTGTTGGTTCATGCCGAAGACAAAGCATGCCTTTATTGTCCCTTTTCCTCTTCCTTTCTGGCTCTCTGCTTCCAATGTTCTTTCCCTCCACTTGCGGACCCTTTTCCTCCCCATACAGCCTGTAAAGCGTGCCCTGTGCTGGTCTCATTCTAATCTCATGCCCCAGTTCCAGCAACAAACCGCCTGGTGAGCGCTGTGCACTGCAGCCCCGTGCTTATAACTCTTAGGAAATCCAGTGCTTCTTTCACTCTAGCCTGTCTTGCTCTGCCAGGCACCTGAGGACTGACTGACTTGTCCCTCGATGCTGCAGGCCAGACTCCTGACACTCAGACTCTATCTTGAATCCCACATGCTTGGGCTCAGTTTCCCGTTAGACTGCCCTGGATCTGTTTCCTTATAGCAGTCTCCCTCTTCCTGGATGGCCTGTCAGGTTCATCCTCTGGGTGTCATTTGTGTGTGTGTGTGTGTGTGAATGAACAGGTGTCCCTGCCCCTCCCAGTCTGACCTCTCATTTTGCCTACAGTATTTTGGTTCTGATGTCTACTATTTCACCACTAAGAGCCCTGCCAGCCAGCAGCTGGCAAGAGCCTGAAGATGGCTCCAGATCCTCTTGGCGGTGGCCCCTCTGGGCTTCTGCCTTTCCCTTCCATCTGCCCAGAACTTCAGCCAGACTCTACCCTCCAAGACCAAGCTCCCCAGGGTTGCAAAGTGGTAGCAGCCCTAGTAAAGCAATCATTTGATAAAAACATGTTCCTGCTTAAGTGTTCTTAAGGAATCTTGTAGGGAAAGGGGGAATTTGGACATAAGGCCCTAGATCTTCAGTTAATAGAGTGATTTTGTCAGCCACTTACAGTTGCCTCTTTTTCCCCAAGATGCAGCAAGGAAAAGCCTTTGATGACTGAGTTGAGATGTACAGGCTTTTATTTACTGAGATTTTTCTAGTTCACCTTTAAGACTGATAGAGTCAAAGCTTTGGAATCGCAGTTGTCTTCATGAAGCAAATAAAGCATAAATACTTCAAAATTTTTATTTATTGCATAGGGAATATAGTCCCATGATACAAAATTCAAAACAAGCAACAGCTTGTTTAGGAAATTCTGTCCTACTCTCTCCCAGTCACTCTTCTCCATAGGTAATCCATGTTACCAGCCATTTTTTTTGAGTGCATCCTTCTGGAAGTGAAAGGAGAATGAACTTGTGATCTAATCAAGGGCCTATTCGACATCACAGCAGCCTTGGAGGCTGGCTGGGATCAGGTTGCTCTTGTGTTTTGCGGAATATAATTTGACTTCTTAGAAGTCTTGTTTAGAAAAGCAGCCGTGTATTGATAGAGTATAGTTCTTAATCAATAAGCTACAAATATTCTCTTTGGTCCACAGAATCTATATCAACTAACCTATATTCTGACAGAACTCACCAGAATTAATAAGGAACATTAGAGTTTGTTTATAGCAAATATTCTCTGCACATACAAATTCCCCCTACAAATTCCTTGCTAAGTCTAAAAGAAGGAGTTAAAACAGCAAGATGATTTGACTTCTCTTGCTTCGCTCTCTTGTGTCTTTTTGTGTCTTCTACGCATTTGTTTCAGGACATACAGGCTGGTGTTTATCTTAACGGCTGATGGACTCTTCTAGAATAACCATGTCCACAGTCTGTGCAAGGCTTTGGGAGGGTGGAGGGAGATAATAAATTTGAAATTAAAAAATCCCTTTATAAAGCAATGTGGATTTATTTCCCAATGCAAAGCCATGTTGAGTCTAATTCTGAAAAACCATAAGCTGAAGAAACATAACATTTCTGCCAGTGGAGCCACAGAGACGAGCGGATCTGTATTTAGAATCCTGCAGGGAAGGTTGACTTAAATATTTATTTTCCATGCTGTTAACCCAATTGTCGTGCAAGTCATTATGGATACTAAAATTACTTTCTTGCTCCACTGAAAATTCATGCTGACATCGAACAATGCAGAAAGAGGCTTGGCCCCTCTTGTCAAATCGAGATGAAAAGAACGTAACCTAGAAGAACAAATGAGGGATTTTCCATAGATTTTGTTTTATAAAATATCATCCATGACTATATTTCAGAATTTGGCTATAATTTCAGTAAGGATGGTATCAAATTTCTGAACGTTACAGTAGAGTCGAAAGATGTGGTTTTTCTTAAGAGAGAAACGATTAAATG